CCCCCCAAACCCCAGCACTGACCCCCTCTTCTCCCCCAAACCCAGCACTGACTGCCCCTTGCACCCCCAACCCAGCACTGACCCCTTCTCCCCCAACCCCAGCACTGACCCCTCTTGCATCCCCAAACCCCAGCACTGAACCCCTTTCCCCCAAACCCAGCACTGACCCCCCTTCTCCACCCAAACCCAGAACTGATCCCCCCCTTGCATCTCCAGCACTGGCCCCCTTTTCCCCCTCCCCAGCACTGACCCCTTTTCTCCCCCAAACCCAGCACTGGCCCCCTTCTACCCACAAACCCCGGCACTGAAGCTGCAGCTCAGGCCAGGGCTTGGACTGTGAAGCCCTCCCAAGGTGCCAGAGCCCGGCCCGCGGCATCCACAGAGCTCTTTAGCACGGCAGAGCAAGCCTGAGTCTGTCGGCCCCAGCTCAGATGCTCGTTGCCTGGCATGGGCAGTGGGTATAAGAGGGAAGAAATGGCGGATGTGGGCCCACTGCCTGTGAAGCGCTGCCGCTGGAAGCTCCTGAGAAGTGGGGGCACCATTGGTGCCCGGACCGTGGCCCTGCCTGCACTCTGCCCCGAGGCCTCGCCCGCGCTGCACCTCTTCCTGCCCCTGCTCTGCCTCTGCCCCCCTAGGCCCCCCTGCCCACCGCTTACGCCTCCTTAGGGGAGGAGGCAGAGAGACACGAGTGGCAGGGCCTTGGGGGAGGGGGTGATGAGGCATGAGCAGCGGGTGGGGCAGTCTTTGGGGTGGGGGCAGAGAGGAGAGAGCGAGCAGTGGGTGAGAGGGGGGACCTCAGGAAAGGAGAGGAGCAAGCAGCAGGCAGGGGGTCCTTCGCGGAGGAGAGGAGCAAGCGGCGGGTGGGGGAGCCTCGGGAAGAGGCGGAGTGGGGGCAGGGCCTCAGGGGAAAAGGCTGACTGGGAGGGGCCTCAGGGCGGAGCAGGAGGTGGGGCCATGGTCCAGGTGCCAGTGGCCTCCCCCATTTCTTGGGAGCTTCCAGCGCTCGCACCCAGCCTCCCCTAACACAAGAGTCATGCACCACCTATGGTGCCCAGGCTATGTAGATTGCCCCCAAGGGACTGGCCCACGCCCACGGTCACCCAGGGCATGTGCAAAGAAGCAGGGTCCCTTGAACCCCAGGCTCACCCTGTAACCAGTGGGCTGAGTCTCTGAACACCAGTCCTCCTGGTGGGAAATGTCCATCAGGGATGGGGAATGAGGCGCAGGCCCTGCAGGGGAAGAGGGCATGTTGCCATAGGTGCTGACTCCATGGGTACTCCAGGGCTGGAACACCCATGGAAAAAAAGTAGTGGGTGCTCAGCACCCACCGGCAGCCCCATGGATCAGTGCCTCCTCCCCGCCCCAGCGCCTCCCCCCCCGCCAGCGGCCCACCAATCAGCTCCGCCCCCTCCCTGCCAGCACCTTCACCCCCCACGATCAGCTGTTCAGTGGCATGCAGGAGGCGCTGGGGGGGTAGGGAAGGAGCAGGTGCAGGAAGAGGCGGGGGAGGGGGCAGAAGCCGTGGGGTGGGAGCTTGGGGGGAGGAGTGGAGTGGGGGCGGGGCCTGGGGAAGAGCAGGGGTGGAAAGAGGTGGGGTGGGGACTTGGGGGAAGGGGTGGAGTGGGGGCGGGGCCTGGGGCAGAGCAGGGGTCGAGCACTTCCCTGGGAACAGAGGATATCAGCGCCTATGTAGGTTGCCATCTCCTCTGGAGCTGCCTTGGGTCTATCAGTGCCGCTGTTAACGGCTCTGGGTTTCTCCCAAGGTTTCCATTATCAGCTTGACAGCAAACTGGCTGGGCTATTCCGAACTGGGTGCCATCAAATCACTGAGGACTCTGAGGGCTTTGCGACCACTGCGGGCTCTGTCAAGATTCGAAGGCATGAGGGTAGGTCCTTCGCCAGGACTCCTGGCTAGGTGTGACGTTGGCACCTGGTAGACCCAGAACCGCTAGGTACTTCTCGGTGTGAGGGCCAAGGGAACCAATGTGTTGGACACAGAGCCAGCTGTGCCCTGGTGCTTCTAGAAAGGGCTTTTCAGAGGAAATGGGTGCCCCGCATTGCCAAAGCCCAGCCTTCGGAAATTGGAGATCGGCCTAAAATCATGAGATTCTAAAACTAGTAACTTTGGCAAGTTCCTTTGCTGGTCTTTTGGGGTCACGTGTGGAAGCTTTTCTCTGCAATCACAAGGGCTAGACACGTTGCTTCTTTACTGAAAGCCGAGAATTCTCATGAAATCACCAGATTCCAGGAGCTGGGACTTTAACAAGATCCTCAACTATCCTGAGACTCGCTCCCTTACAGACCCAGCGATGGGGAGTGCTCACAGAGGGCAAGGGACAGGACTTCCTGCCTGGCTTGTGGCTGCCTGCACAGAGCTGAGGGAAGGACAGGGTGGGCACAGAGAGGCCAGGCCCCCATATTGTATTCAGTAGACTCAGGCTTGGTCTCCAGCTGGGGTTGGTGGTGCATGGAGGTAACGCAGCCTGCTGGGTAGATGTTCTCCTCTGGGCCTCACTCTTTGAAGCCCAGTTGCTCCAACGAGGGACTTTAATGCCCTCAAAGTGCAGCCCTGGATTGCACCACACCTGGTCCGTGCCTGGCCCGCTGCCCGCTCCTCTCTCCTCCGCAGTGCCGGCCTAGAGCTTCGAAATGGAAGAGGAGGGGGCAGGCCCAGGAGGCCATGGTACTAACCTGTGCCACCGCCCGTGCTACCATGGCTTTCCTGCTATTGGCACTCAGTGATCTAGCTACAGCAGAGCCAGGGTGGGTATGTCTACACATGCTGCAATCACACCTCTGACTGCAGTGTAGACAGTCCCTGACAATCCTGTTCCAGCTAGACGAGGTCCCATCTCTCCCGAGTGGCGCATCCCGTGTGCTCTTCGGCTATGTGGAGTGGGGAGGCTCAAATCTGGCCGTGGTGGGGTGTGCCTCACACAGGAACTCCAGGTAATTGCACCTGCGGCACAGTAACCTGTCCAGGTGGCTTTGAGGAGACACATCTGCTCCCAGGTGAGGGGTAGCTGTAATTCCATCCAAGCAGCAGAGCTAGCACCCAGCCACAGAACTGCCACTCACCAGGTCCTGAGCTGTTTCCCCCAGGCCAACCCAGCCCCCTCTCCCTTCCCATTGCAGGTGGTGGTGAACGCCCTGCTGGGTGCCATCCCCTCCATTATGAACGTCCTGCTGGTCTGCTTGATCTTCTGGCTGATATTCAGCATCATGGGGGTGAACCTGTTTGCGGGGAAGTACTACCGGTGCATCAACACCACTACGGACGAGCTCTTTGACATCAGCGAGGTGAACAACAAAAGCGACTGCCTGGCGCTGCTCCACACCAACCAGGCGCGCTGGGTCAACGTCAAGGTCAACTTCGACAACGTGGGCTTGGGCTACCTGTCCCTGCTGCAGGTGGTAAGGACTCCACCGCGCGGCAGCTCTTGGCCCGGGGGAACCCCAGGCTGGCACAGCTCCCCAGATAGAGCAGCTGTCAGACGCCGAGTGAGAGGCTCCCCTGCAGTCCCTAGGCACCAAGCTGCTGGGCTTTATTTTATCATTATGTACCTGACAGTAGCACCTAGAGTCTTGACCAAGATCAGGGCTCTGCTGTGCTAGTGCAGAGTGAGTGACCGTCCCTGTCCCAAAGAGCTTACAGGAAAAATAGATACGACCAAATGATTAGCCCCATTTTACAGAAGGGGGTGGGGGAAACTGAGGCACAGAAAGGGGAAGGGACTTGCCCAAGGTCACCCCCTCCAGGTCAGATTGGCACCCAGTGCAGCCCTAGCTGATCACCAGTCTGGTGCTCAGCTTCCCCTGCAGTGGTGTCATGCCATCTAATGCAGGAAACGAGACATGCACCCTCTTTTGTTCAGTCACAACCACCAAGCCCGCACCAGCTCCTGGTGGAGTGAATGGTCCAACCCCCCCGATTGCCAGAGACTCAGGATCAGGTGCTACCGGTTAATAGCTAGGCAGTGATCAGTTAGCTGTGTGTTGTACAAATGCGGCCCGGAAGCTAACTGGGAAGCCAAGGAGTCCGCTAGACTTCTGGTTAGCAAAGCTGGAGCTAGAGATAGCTCCTGGCCCAGCTCAGTGGTTGACACCAGCCTGCCCCATCGCGTGACACTGCAATTTTCTGGGCTCCCCAGACCGACGTAAAGCACCATCTCCAGGGAGCAGTGTAGCTTCTCCCCCGAATGGAGTGGGGGGGGGGTTGGTTGTTCCATGGCAGGCTGCTTGGGAATTTTTCAACATGAGGTTTTTTGTCCAAATGGCGATTCGTCGAAGGGGGAACTTCCCCTGGAAATGTCTCGGTTTCAGTGACCCATTCATTGGGAAGGCTCCTCGCATCTCGGCTGGAATCTCTGGTCCAAGCGGGAGAGGCTGTGCTAGACCCTATGAGCACCCCATAGTTAGCGCACTTCTGAGGGATGCAGGAGCCCTAGGCTTACATCCTTGCTCTGCCTGAGTTAGGGCAGGAATTTAAGCCTGGTTATTCCACAGCCCAGGGGCCAGATGTTCAGTAGCCAACGTGCTGAGCTCCCCTGGGGACTGACTCCACTGCTCTGTGCTGTCCCGGCAGGCCACCTTCAAAGGCTGGATGGACATCATGTATGCGGCCGTGGACTCCCGCGAGGTGAGGTGACACAGAGCAAGGAGCGTGTACTGCAGCTCTCTCGCCAACACGCTTGGCTTCACAGGGCATGCTGGGACAAGGAGCCCTGTCCTGCATGGTTCAGCATGGCTTAGGGCTTTGAGGGGCACTTTCTCTGTGCTCTGCTCCCTGGCACTGACAGACTGATCCAGGCCCCACTCACCCAGCTGGGGGGCTCGGGCAGGTCGAGGGGTGGAGCTCTCACCCTGTCCCATAGCTGAGCAGTGAACCATGGGAACAGGACACGGCCTGATGTTTCATTGATCACACATTCTGCAGGCGCCACCCTCCCCCTTTGCCTTGCCAGCGCCCCCCAGAAACCAGACCCCCCAAAAGTACTCCAAGCTGACCCCAAACTGTCAGATCCCCCCCTCTTTTCTGGGACAGAAGCTGTCAGGGTTCCCTCCCCACTCTGAACTCTAGGGTATAGATGTGGGGACCCGCATGAAAGACCTCCTAAGCTTATCTCTACCAGTTTAGGTTAAAAACTTCCCCAAGGCACAAATTCTTCCTTGTCCTTGGAACGGTATCGCTGCCACCACCAAGTGAGTTAGACAAAGATTTAGGAAAAGAACCACTTGGAAGTCCTGTTTCCCTAATATATCCCCCAAACCCTTTCACCCCCTTTCCTGGGGAGGCTTGAGAATAATATACCAACCAAATAGGTTAACAAAGTGGGCACAGACCAACCCTTGGGTTTTTAGGACACTAAAAACCAATCAGGTTCTTAAAAGCAGAACTTTATTATAAAGAAAAAGTAAAAAGAAGCACTTCTGTAAAATCAGGATGGAAGGTAATTTTACAGGGTAATCAGATTCAAAACACAGAGGATTCCCCTCTAGGCAAAACTTTAAAGTTACCAAAAAAAACAGAAATAAACCTCCCTCTTAGCCTAGGGAAAATTCACAAGCTAAAACAAAAGATAATATAATGCATTTCCTTCCTAAGGCGGGGGGGTCATTTCCTTCCTAAGGAGAGGGGCTATAATGCATTCCCTTCCTAAGGGGAGGGATAGTTCAGTGGTTTGCGCATTAGCCTGCTAAACCCAGGGTTATGCGTTCAATCCTTGAGGGGACCATTTAGGGATCTGGGGCAAAAATCTGTCAGGGGATTAGACCTGCTTTGAGCTGGGGGTTGGACTAGGTGACTTCCTGAGGTCCCTTCCAACCCTGATATTCTATACTTACAATTTGTAATCTTACATGCTTAGTTCAGGTATGGCTTTAAGAGATGTATTTTCCCTGCCCTGGTTTCTCACTAACCCGGAGAGGACACACAGAGAGACAAAACAAAAACCTTCCCCCACAGATTTGAAAGTATCTTCTCCCCTCATTGGTCCTTTTGGTCAGGTGCCAACCAGATTATTTGAGTTTCTTAACCCTTTACAGGTAAAGGAGGGATTTTATGCTACTCTTAGCTGTATGTTTATGACAGAAGCTTTGTCCTCCCACCCTATGCTCCCACTTCTTTCCCATAGCCAAGTCTGTCCCGGGAGCTGCTCTTGACCTTCCCTCATGACATCTGCAGCTGGGGGCAGACTGACGTTCTGCGGCACGGAGCTTTTCAGAGCGTCTCCAGGGCAGGTGGAGGGTCCGGGGCTCCCAGAGTGGACCAGGCTCCCTGGGCAGCATTTACCACAGGCTGGCTCCAGCTTCCAGCCTGGCCAGAGGGCAGGGCCTTGGGGGAAGAGGAGGAGCAGTGCGTTCTTTGTTCTTTGTGCCAGGGCCCCAGTGTCAGGGCAGGGGGAGGCTGGGTTGTCAGCATTCCCAGTCTCCTGCAGTGCAGCAGTGACCCCATGCCTGGGGGGGAGGGAGTGAGCTGTGCCCTGCCACTCACACGTCCCCTTCTCCTCACTCAGATCGAAGAACAGCCACTGTATGAGACCAACCTCTACATGTACATCTACTTCGTCATCTTCATCATCTTCGGCGCCTTCTTCACCCTCAACCTCTTCATCGGCGTCATTATCGACAACTTCAACCAGCAAAAGAAAAAGATAAGTATCTTCTGGCCCGCCTGGGCTCCTGGCATTTCCGTAGCCCTGGAGATCCGGACGGGGCCATTGGGATCAGCTAGTCTGGCTGGGGCATCAGTCAGGCAGCCTTCGGTGGCTTGCCTGCAGGAGGTCCACTGGTCCCGCGGATTCGGCGGCAATTCTGTGGCGGGTACGCCGAATCCGCGGTACTGGCAGACCTCCCGCAGGCATGCCGCCGAATCCGCAGGACCAGCGCACCTCCCGCAGGCATGCCACCGAATCCGCGGGACCGGGGACCTCCCGCAGGCATGCCGCCGAATCCACGGGACCGGCGGATCTCTCGCAGGCATTCCACCGAATCCGCGGGACCAGGGACCTCTGGCAGGCATGCCGCCGAATCCACGGGACCGGCGGATCTCTCGCAGGCATTCCACCGAATCCGCGGGACCAGGGACCTCTGGCAGGCATGCCGCCGAATCCACGGGACCGGTGGACCTCTCGCAGGCATGCCACCGAATCCGCGGGACCGGGGACCTCCCGCAGGCATGCCACCGAATCCGCGGGACCAGGGACCTCCGGCAGGCATGCCGCCGAATCCGCGGGACCGGGGACCTCCCACAGGCATGCCACCGAAGGCAGCCTGCCTACCATGCTTGGGGCAGCAAAAAAGCTAGAGCCGCCCCTGGTCTGGCCTCCTGCATAACCCAGAGCACTGCCCCGCAGTCATTCCTAGCGCAGAGCTTCAGGAGGCAGGCCAGGAAAGAGCGTTCTGTGGCGGGCGGTGAATTGCAGCTCCTGGGTGCAGGGCCAGCTTTATGACCCACGGGGCCCGATTGGAATACTCAGCAGCAGTCCGGGGCTTCGGCAGCACTTTGGCGGCGGGGGATCCGCTCCGGGTTTTCCGCAGCACCGAAGGACCCCCGGTGCCGAAATGCCGCCGAAGACCCCCAGAGCAGACCCCCCCGCCGCCGAAATGCCGCTGAAGACCCCCGGAGCGGACCCCCCGCCGCCGAAATGCCGCTGAAGACCCCCGGAGCGGACCCCCCGCCGCCAAAATGCCGCTGAAGACCCCCAGAGCGGACCCCCCCGCCGCCGAAATGCCGCCGAAGACCTCCGGAGCGGGGCCCCCTTAGGCGTGGGCACGGGCCCTTTTCGGCGCGGGGAATTGGGTGAATGGGCTTAAAGCCGGCCCTGCCTGGGCGAGGGCGCAGACCGGGGGCGTGGGGTCACAGTGAGAGGTCAGACATAGGAGCAGACCCAGCCTAGGAGCAGAGAAGCTGCAGTGCATGAGCTGAGAATCCCCTGGGCAGTTCCCTGCCGTGCCGGCGCCCACTCTTCCCGATCACTGGGGTTGCTAAATGAGCTCCCTATGGGAACCTGAGAAGTCACATCCTGGGCTTTGTGCCTGGGGTTTTCTCATTTACGGTGTGTAAAGGGGGCCTGGGAAGTACTCAGAAAAACCAAAGAAGGTGCAGGGAGGGAGTCTCTTTTCTATTCGATTTTGACCCCAGAAGCATCAGCATTGCCACGCCTGGCCCGCCGTGCTCTGCTGGGGTCGCTGGGGGGCCAGGGGCCTGGGCCTGGGCAGGGGTGTTGTGGAGGCACAGAGCCCCTAGGAGGACAGAGCCATAGCACCCATGGATCCCCTGCACTCCAGTGAAACGCGGAGCGGGGAGGGAGGGGCTGGGTGATGGGTGATGACACTGAGCTGCTTCCATTAGGAAAAGACTTAGAGGCTTACGGGGAACTCCAGACGGGCTGGGAAGCACCAGGGCAGCTGGGATTCAGGAGCCAGCAGTGTTTGCTGAGCTGATGGGATCCTCCAAGGAAAGAGACATGAGCCACTGTGGGTAGCTCTGGCTAAAACATGGCTGCAGTTAAAGCAAGCTCCATTCCTGGGTGGAGTAAAGAAAAGCAGGGCAGAAAAGACTCTAAAAGCCAGAGGACAGGGAGTCTGAGCTCGAGGAGAAGCTGCCCCAGCAGAGCAAGGCCTGGTCTACACTACAGAGCTAGGTGGGCGTAAGGCAGCTAACGTCGACCTCACTGTGTCAGTGTCTACACCACAACGGTACTCCCGGTGATATAAGTCACCCACTACCCCGCCCTAATAACTCCACCCTGTGAGCGGTGTAGTGCTTAGATCAATGTAGTCAGGGCGATGCAGTGTCCGTGCAGAGATTGCATTACTTACATCGCCTGTTGGCTGTCAGCGCCAGGGCGGGGGCAACTGTGAGCCATGCGCCTGGCTGACAACTGGGGCAGGGAGACTCCAGCTGTCAGTTCCCCACAATGCCTCCCTTCAGTCGGTAGAAGCACCCCTGAGGAGGACAGGCACCGCTGACAGAAGGAGCGTAGTGTGGACATAATTACTACGGTGGCTGTACTTCAACTTAAGTCAACTTAATTTTGTAGTGTAGCCAAGCCCCAAGACTTGCCAGGAGCTGCAAATTCCTCCCAGTGTTACTGGAAGCTGGTGCAGATGCTTGTTAAAAACCAAAATGTATCCAAGTCTAATAATGGTGATTCCTTTTATACTTTGGAGGGAAGGACATCTTCATGACGGAGGAGCAGAAGAAATACTACAACGCCATGAAAAAGCTTGGATCAAAGAAGCCCCAGAAGCCAATCCCCAGGCCCCACGTATGACATGTTAAAAGCGTTTGCGGGCTAGTAGGGGGGGTGTTTAGAAACAGAAATGGTGCCGACAAGCATGAGCCGGGGCCAGGTGTCCAGTGGGCGAATCAGGTTTTGTGATGCGCCTCGGATCACTGTTTCCGCTCCACATAGAGCTCCTATGCTTTTACATCTGGCAACAAGCAGCCAGGATGGAGTTTCAGAGTGGCAGCGTGTTGGGTGAGCGCCCTGGGAAACCAAGCCCTTCAGCCATACAGTACTAGTGGACTATTTAATGCACCATAGACTGGTTTCTTTTTGTTATGGTCTCCTGCTCTGACTTCAGGAGAACTGCCTCTAACTGAGGGCTTACCCCCAAGGGACCAGGACCTGACCCTGAGTATTTGCCCAGGTACCCTGAGTACTTGCCGAGTGCCTGACCCTGAGAAGCGCCAAGGACTGACTTCCTCGCTGGGAGCTGAGTGTTCTCAGCACGTCGCAGGGGGGCACTTAGCATCTCCCAGAATCAGCCCTGTGGAGAGGAAACCTCCCAGGAAATTAGGTGGGGGGTTCCTCTGTGGTCCCCCATGGTGCTAGAGTCCTCCTGCTGCTGTCTCTCGGCTGAGACGTGCCCCAACATCCTGCCCACCTGTCGTCCCATAGCCCTTTTCATAACCGAGTGTTCACCCCGTGCTCTGGTTACCGTCCAGCCCAGTTGATTCCATCCCCCTGCCCGTGGTTCCTAGGCGAAAGGGAGGAAGAAAGGTGTGGGGAGGAGGCAGGGCAGTGATAATGGAGGACAATAGCTAATGGTGGAGAGGCAGCTCCCCCAGCCCAGAAGACAGGGGAAGGCATGTGGTGACCCCTCTGAGCAGCCAAGGGGAGCACTTGTGGGGGAGCAGGCAGCTTCCCCCTAGAAGGCTCAAAACCCGCAAAGCAGAAAAAAAACAGTTTAGCCCATGCTGTTCTGGAGGCCGAGCCAGGACGGGTGGGCATCTGACAGGACATGCTGGAGAGCGCATGCTGAGCGCATTACATGTCCCCAGCCATTGCAAATGCTGCTAGGACAGAAGGGCCCTGCTGGGACTGCGAGCACAGCCCCTTGGTTGTTGGAATGGTGAGAGTGGCAGCGGTTTTAAAAATGCCACTTTCTTTGAATTTTGAATCTGGCTGAGCCCATCAGCTCTGTGAGCGGAAGAGGCAGTGTGGCCTAGTGGCTAGAGCAGTCACCGGGGCTCAGGAGACCCAGTTCTCGTCCCAATTCTGACCCTGGCCTGCTGGGCGATCTTGGACAAGTCACTTCACCTGCTTGTGCCTCAGTTTCCCCATTGGTAAAATAGGGATAATGATACTGATACTGATGTGCTTTGTAAAGCACTCTGAGAGATTGTTATTCCTGTGACACCACCTCCCAAATCCCCTTTTCCTGTTAGCAGTTTCTACTTCAGCTTTATAAATCACTTGCTCGTTTGGATTTCTTTAAGTTTTCCTTTCCTTAAAACTTCCAAACAGCTCGCAGCAGTTCTCCTTCTAGCAAACACAATTCTGTCACTGCTCCATCTTCGAACTGTCATTTCTCGTAGTGCATGTATTTTCCTTTCTGCATGAGCCTCCTGTCACGCTCCCAGATATGTGTCAGTGTTACAGCTTGATGTTCATAATGGCCAGTGAGTTTTGTGACAACGCTCAGGGTTTGCTCAGGCATGGGCCTGGGGTGAAATCCTGGCCACATTGAAGCCAAAGGCAAAACTCCCATTGATTTCCCTGGGAGCAGCATTTCACCTCTGGTCTTTTACCTCCCCAGGAATTGCTACACATTTGGCTCTGCCAAGCATTCAGGTTCAGATTTTCAAAGGTGCCAAGGATAGTCAAGTGCTTCTAATGATGGGGTGTACATCAGGGGTTCTCAAGCTTTTTCTTTCTGAGGCCCCCCCAACATGCTATAAGAACCCACAGCCCACCTGGGCCACAACAGCTGGTTTTTCTGCATATAAAAGCCAGGGTCAGTGTTAGGGGGTAGCAAGCAGGGCAATTGCCCAGGACCCAGATCATAGGGGGCCCTGCGGAGCTAAGTTGCTCAGGCTTTGGCTTCAGCCCCAGGCGGTGGGGCTTCAGCTTTCTGCCCAGGGCCCCAGCGAGTCTAACACTGGCCCTGCTTGGTGGACCCCCTGAAACCTGCTTGCGGCCCCCCAGGGGGCCCCGGGCCCCTGGTTGAGAACCACTGGTCTAAATTAGCTGTTACCACTCAAGAAAGAGATCTTGGAGTCACTGGAGAGTTCTCTGAATACATCTGCTCAGTGCGCAGCAGCGGTTAAAAAAGTGACCAGGATGTTAGGAACCATTAGGAAAGGAATAGAAACCAAGACAAAAATATCACAATGCCACTATCTAAATCCAGCCCTTGAATACTGCGTGCAGTTCTGGTCACCCCATTTCAAAAAGGAGATAGTGGAACTGGAAAAAGTTCAGAGAAGGGCAACAAAGGTAATCAAGGGTCTGGCCTAGCTACCATACGAGGAGAGTTTAAAAAGATTTGGGCTGTTCAGCTTAGAAAAGAGACGATTAAGAGGGGATATGACAGAGGTCTATAAAATGAGGACTGGTGTAGCAAAAAGGAAGAGAGACGTGATAATGACCTTTTCCCACAATACAAACACCAGGGGTCACCCGATAAAATTAATAAGCAGCAGGTTTAATACAAACAAGAGGAAGGACTTTTTCACCACATTGTACAACTAACCTGTGGAGCTCATTGCCAGGTGATGTTGTGACGGCCAAAAGTATAACTGGTTTCAAACAAGAATTAATCAGTTCATGGCGGACAGGTCCATCAATGGCTATTAGCCAAGATGGCCAGGGATGCAACCCCATACCCTGGGTCTCCCTAAACCTCTGACTGGCAGAAGCCAGGAGGGGAAGACAAGGAGTGGATCACTCCAGAATTGGCCTGTTCTGTGCACTCCCCCTGAAGCTCTTTACTGGTTGCTCTTGGAGACAGGATACTGGGCTAGATGGACCGTTGGTCTGACCCAGTGTGGCAGCTCTTCTGAAAATCCCCAGCTTTTCCCTATTCCTGGCAGCTGTTAACAGTCCTGGAATAGAAAATGGGGGTGGTTAATAATTAGACGATTGTGACTTTGACTTTTTTGAACAAGTACAACTCAAATGCTGTTTGCAGTGTTGTTGTAGCCATGTCGGTACCAGGATATTAGAGAGACAAGGTAGGGGAGGGATTGTCTTTTAGTGGACCAACTTGTGTTGGTGAAAGAGACAAGCTTTCGGAGCCACACAGAGCTCCTTTTCAGGTCTGGGAAAGGTCCTGAGAGAGTCACAGCTCTGTGTTGCTCGAAAGCTTGTCTCTTTCACCACACAACTTGGTCCAATAAAAGACATTCCCTCCCCTTACCTGAAATGATGACCTTTCCCATTTTTGCCATGATAAGCAACTGGCATTAATTAGGGTTCAATAATGATCCATTGTGGGGAGGCCCAGTCATTGAGACATGTCATTATTACACCATAACATATGAGACGTTGGCATGTGCCAGCTAGGCTCCATCTTGCAACACCCACTGACCTAAGCAGCAGGTGAGGGGCCCACAGCACTCCAGGCAGCATGGCCCAGATCCTCAAAGATATTTAGGTGCCTAACTCCCATGGGAGGCTCTGGGCCCACATCCTTGTTGCATGATCACACTGCACGAGGGATAAGACAGATGGGTCTCTGTCCTCTTCTAAACACTGTTTCTCTCTCTCTCTTTCCATTTTTGTCTTCATTCTCCACTGTGCCCTGTCTGTCCATTCCACCTCCTGGCTTGCCCTTCTGCCTCCATCTTCACCCACGTTCCATGTATTAAAGAACAAATGTCAGGGGCTGGTTTTTGACTTTGTGACAAAGCAAGCTTTTGACATCATCATCATGGTCCTGATTTGTCTTAACATGGTGACCATGATGGTTGAAACAGACGACCAAAGCCCAACCAAAATCAACGTCCTCTACAACATCAACATGATTTTCATCGTCATCTTCACGGGCGAGTGCTTGCTCAAAATGTTCGCCTTGCGCTATTACTACTTCACCATTGGCTGGAACATCTTCGACTTTGTGGTGGTCATCCTCTCCATCGGAGGTAAGCACCGGACACCAGCTGCATTTCCATTGACTCAGGCAAGCCTCCAAGTGGGTTCTGTAGCAATCAAGATAGAGAAGAAATGCCTAGATGGGAAATATGGGTTTGGTGACACCCCCTACCTGGGAGACCCATGGCCCTGCCTTGGAGCCCTAGCTCTGCCACTGTTCCTGTGCCTGCTAGAGTGGTGGTAGGAGTGGACACTCTCTATGAGCCACTTCGAGAAACCCACCACCATTCCTCTTTGGACAGACTGGGCCTCCCTGAGCACTGTTCAGATGGGCAGAAGTCCACCCCATAGGAGGGAGGACACATCTCCACCCTGCCTCCCTCCCCACATAGAGGACTCAGTGTGGGGGGACCCTACCAACATCAGTCACCCCAGAAGAGGTGGGCGGGTGGCAGGGCCCCCAAAGCAGTAGGTTTCAGAGTTAACAGGCCATAGGGACGCATGGGACATTTCACCCCTTTTAGAGCAACTGTCTCAGGCTGTCTGCAGACTCAGATAGCTGTTGCTGCATTGTCATGCTCAGCGCATGTTTTCAAGACTTTCTTCACAACCAGGAGAGCTAGAAACATGATTATTTATATATATTAAAACTGAGATTCACATGACTCCAGGTGCAGGGGCCCACTATGCTTATGCCTTAACCTGGTCCTGCTTCCCAGGTGCTCCCCCTAAAAAACTCCTTCCTGTGTGCTCACTAAAACCTTCCCTGAGCGCGCACCGTAAAGTGCTTCCTGCAAATCCTACCCCACGTTCTCACCGCAAGCAACTCCCCGGGTTCCATTCATAAAGGGATCCTACACGGGCAGACCTCCCCTTCTCCAAGGGGCTAAGGTCTGTCTGCAACCCCAGGCACCTCGCAGAGGGCTCCCTTGCTCCCCTCTTTCAGCCTTCAGGAGGAACTGTGTGGCACACCCCTCTAGCATGGACTGGGGTGCAGCAAGGGCTCAGGGGGGCTCGTTGTTTCTGGGAGGGCGTCTCATTAGCGACGAGTTGGCTACATTTTAATCTTTGCATGTGCGCTACAAGGCTGTTTTAGATAAACTCATACATTCAAAATAATAAGGGCTGCCTGTTCCCACGGTATCCTCAGAACATCCCTGGGGCGCAGGGCAATACCCCCAGTTACAGACAGGCAGATGAGGCCAAGACCACACAGGACGTCTGTGGCACAGCTGGGATTCGAAGCCAGAATGCTACTGCCCTAACTGCCACACTATCTTTGCTCACCAGCCTCTTCCTGTTCTCCCTGTGTGGAAGAATAGGGGCTAAAGCATGATTGTCACCTTTAGCAAGAGAGAAGTACCGGGGGCAACAGAAAAGAGCAAGGGTTAGACTGAGCCGTAAGCAAAACCTTTCAACCATGAAACACACCAGGCAATGGGGCAAGTAGCAATGGGACATGGTGGATTCTTAGATGGTGGCTGGATGGCAAATCGCAAGGAACATAGGATTGTGCAGCAGCACTGGGTAGGGAACTTTCCTGAGGCCTTTTCCAGCCCATGTGAGTTTATGGTCCTCTGCTAAGCACCCTTGCCTTCACATGCATTCACCTCCTCAGCTCTCCAGCACAGAGGGTGCATATAGACCCAGAGCAGGTTACCCATTGCTTCACTACTTCAGCTCATGGAGCGAGCCACGCTTAACTTCTTTTCACCCCTTTTCAGGTATCGTCCTTTCCGACATCATAGAGAAGTACTTTGTGTCCCCCACCCTCTTCAGGGTGATCAGGTTGGCAAGAATTGGGCGTGTTCTGCGGCTGATCCGAGGAGCAAAAGGAATCCGGACTCTCTTGTTTGCTTTAATGATGTCTCTCCCTGCTTTGTTCAATATCGGCCTCCTGCTGTTCTTGGTGATGTTCATCTACTCCATCTTCGGGATGTCCAACTTTGCTTACGTCAAGAAGGAGTCTGGGATCGACGACATCTTCAATTTCGAGACGTTTGGAAACAGCATCATCTGTTTGTTTCAGATCACGACGTCTGCCGGGTGGGATGGTCTCCTCAACCCTATCCTGAACAGTGGCCCACCAGACTGCGACCCTAACTTGGAGAATCCCGGAAGTTCAGTAAAAGGAGACTGTGGCAACCCGTCTATTGGCATCTGCTTTTTCTGCACCTACATCATCATCTCCTTTCTGATCGTTGTGAACATGTACATCGCCATCATCCTGGAGAACTTCAATGTGGCTACAGAGGAGAGCAGCGAACCGCTCTGTGAAGATGACTTCGAAATGTTCTATGAAACGTGGGAGAAGTTTGATCCAGATGCCACCCAGTTTATCACGTACAGCGTGTTGTCGGATTTTGTAGACACCCTGCAAGAGCCACTCAAGATTGCCAAACCAAACAAGATTAAATTAATCACCATGGATTTACCGATGGTTGTCGGAGATAAAATCCACTGTCTGGATATTCTCTTTGCGCTGACTAAAGAAGTGCTGGGTGACTCAGGGGAAATGGACGGCTTGAAAACCACAATGGAGGAGAAATTCATGGCTGCCAACCCATCCAAGGTTTCCTATGAACCCATCACTACGACTTTGAAAAGGAAGCACGAAGAAGTCTGTGCCATAAAAATCCAAAGAGCCTTCCGAAGGTATTTACTAAAGCGGTCGATGAAACAGGCGTCTTATCTGTACAGGCATAGTCAAGAGGAGGGCATCTTTGCAGAGGGAGCACCAGAAAAAGAAGGACTAATTGTAGACAAAATGAACAAGATGTATGGGAACGGTGATACACACCTGGAAATGGCCCCAGGCCTGGCTCTTGCAGCACCAGTTGCAAGCCCAGAGACTCGAGTTGCTCCTAGTGAGGCGAAAAAACGGGATGGGGAGCGAGAGGTGAAAGAGTCATTAGTATAACAGAAAGCACTTTTCATCTTCCTATCCTGCAAAGACTCCATTTGTATCTCTTCTGCAAGAACGCTCCCATATCCCTCTCTGTAGACAGCTAACGCCATAGTACCGTATTTCAGACCCATCTCAACTTTTTAACCAGAACCTCATATTCATCACAGGTTTTATAATTCACCGCGACTTGCGGCATTGAGTATTTTCCTTCTGAGGTAAATGTGAAATCTCTCTATTGCTGGTGAAAGAGAAGCACTGTACGTTTGAAAATGGTATAACCCTGGTAGCGATGTGTTTCAGAAGTTAACGACTGGGTATGGCTCTCCTTTTATTTTCAAAATTATTTCTTAATATTATTTCACACTTGAGGTATTTGCCCCATTATTGTTCCTGACGTGCAATGAATTCGAGGAGAGAGATGAGCCAAGTGAAATAATATTAAAAATAATTGCAGAAATGACAAGGTTTTGTGAACAAAAATCTCCAATGTCTTAAAAGTAGCACCTTTCTTTTGAATAGGCGTTAAGGATTTTTGTTATATACAGTAAAAGTGCAATTATGTCTTAAAGATTTGTTTGCATAGTAAAAAAAATCTGCAGCTCTATTCTCAGGGTGAAATGCCAGCTTTTAACACTCATCTCCACCAGAAAGCATTCAGCTCTGAACAGTAGGAACGTCAACTAGTTATTTCCATGCTGCTTTTCTGGGTTCCCATTTAGTCTAGGAACTAGATTATGTGAAAGGAAAATAGCTACCAAAATATGGTGGATGGGGACTAGTTCCCAAATATTCCCACTTCTCTCTACAGAAATACCTCTAGTCCAGCTTCACCAAATCTTAACTAATGCACATCTCCTGGAGCAGGAAATCTTTGTTCCCATCAGGTCACGGGCTGCCATGTGGAGCCAGATCAGGTGATAAAACAGTTTGGTTGCACTGGAATATTTATAATGAATTGCTTGATCAGGTACATTTACAGAATTGCTATCTACTCGTGGAAAACCCTGTGCTTTCTTGGTGACCAATACTTTCCTCCCACCTTATGAATTAACAGTCCTCCGGGAGGACAGTATATATCAGGGCAAAACATATGTGCAAAGTCTAAAATAGTAAAGCAAAAAGTCACCTTAGAAATACTGTTTCCCTTTTCTAAATCTTATTGCCAACTCCTCCTCCCATACACAGTGACCTCTGACTGGGCGGGGAGACTTTTCTATCACGTCTCTTTAGTGTGGAGTTGGACTTTCTGCTGTGGAAACAGATGGGGTAGAGTTTCAAAACAGGCCTTCCTATCTGATTAGTTTTGACTCCGAAGCCTTTGTCTTGATCGGTCTGTGGATTTGCTCAGAGCTGCACCATCTGGTGTCGAGCTGTGAACTAGAGCAGCAGTCGCGCTGTGTAACGTAAGCTGTAACCAGCTCAGCTTTGGCTAATGGAATCACGCTCTTCTGTTCGCTCTGTTCAGATGAAGTGTCAGAGGTGCCAAAGGGTCACTGAGCATCACCAGTGGCCATCACGAAGGGTCCCGGGTCTAGCCAGCCCTGGGCAGCTGGGCCCCTCTCTTGAGATTTGTTTTCCAGACTCCTGTGGAAGTGGGGGCCTGATCTTGCAGCCCCAGCTCAGGCCAAGCTCCTAGCGACTCCCTGGCAGGCAGTGAGCATGGGGGCAGCATGGCACACTCAGCACGGGTCTCGCTGCATTCCCCTGCTACCACAAAACACGCCCCAGCCCGTGCTTAGCTTTAAGCCTGGGAGTCGCTCAGTGGGTTTCAATGGGACCGCTCGCAGGCTCAAGGTTACGCACGCGTTGGGCTGGAGCTGTATCACTTGAACTTGCCCTTACTGAAGCCAATGGCAAAAGCTTCCATTGGTGCAGGCTCAAGCCATGACTCCTGCCCTTCCCTCCCCGCTGGCGTGGGCGCGCACAGCCTGAGAGCGAAGGGAATGGTGCTGCTGCAGAGGGTGGAAGGCGGTAGAGAGCCAGCCCCTCCGGAGCACCAGGCTGGGTGGATTGGGGGAGGTCAGGGGGAGGCAGGGACATAACCTGAAGATTCACTGAGCACAAGGGCCCTGCACACAGGTCCCCTGCACAGGGCCGTGCGGCTGCTGGTGCGTCCATTCCAATGGCTGTAGCAGCTGTAGAGTGACTCTGCCGGGGCGTCATGGCATGGCACGAGGCAGGACTGCGTCCCCAGGCAGAAGCTGGAAGCCCCTCTGGAGGCAGGCAGGGATTTGGCCCTGCATGATTTCTGTGCTGATAGAACTGTTCTTCCTTCCCGTCGGGTGGATGTTGTGACTGCGATTCAGGAACCAAGCAAGGGGAAATCCCGGCCTGTTGGAGCCAATCAGTGTTTTGCCACTGACTTAACAAGGGCTGCAATTCCACCCAGAGTATGCAGCAACCAGGCTGGGAGCCAGCTGCCCACAGCAGAGACCTGCTGTTAATGAACAGGCATTGTTCTTCCTGCCCGGCCTTGGCTGGGTTATTGTCCCCAATAACTTTCCCAAGGGCTTGTCCAGTAGAAAAAGGGCGATTTCTCCTAATGCAGGGTTCTGCGCAGCAGCCGCAGGGCTGTGTAATTTTTGGTGGTGCCCAGAACGGTCCAAATCCCATCCCCCCGCCCCCCCGCCCCCCATTTCTAAGGCTCTGGGAGGGAGTTTGGGTGTGGGCTCTGGGCTGGGGCAGAGGGTTGGAATGCAGGAGAGGGTGAGGGGGGCAGCGTTTACCTTGGGCAGCTCCCGAAAAGGACCCGCACATCCCTCTGGCAGCGGCTCCTAGATGGGGGGACAGGGGTCTCCATGAGTCATTGCCCGCAGGCACCGCCCCCACAGCTCCCATTGGCTGCAGTTCCAATGGCAGAGTCGGCGCTTGGGGCGGGGGTGGCGCGTGGAGACACCCCTCCCCCCAGGGGCTGCAGGGACGTGCCGGCTGGTTCCGGGAGTGGCGCACCGTGTGGAGCGAGGGCAGGCAGGAAGCCGCTTTAGCCCTGCTGCACTGCCCTTTTAAATCGCCTGGGGGCGGCAGGTGGGGCTGGGAGATGCTCCAGGGGAAGGCATGCAGGGGCAGCAGGCGGGGATAGGGGAGAGACCCAGTCCCAAACATTGGAGGAGCTGGGTCCCCGTGCTCTGAATATTCCTGGAGCACGGGCATCACGGACCCATATAACTTGCTGCCCCTGGTCCTGCAGGCTCTTCCTCTGAGTGTACTTGCCTCAAACCAGCAGCAGACGGTTAGGGTTCAAATCCTCTTGGGGGCTGGGGTGGCAGGGTGAGCATCTTTGCTGCAGACAACAAAGTTTTCCGCTCATCAGCAGCACTCTGTGATGTCAGCATGCGCAGGGGGGGCGATGGGGCTATTCACTGCTTGAGAGGATGGGTTCCAGTGTGTTTACCTGTGAACGTCCGGGGAGAAAGGGGGTGCGGTCCTGGCCACCAAGCATGTTTTACAGCCGCTGTTGCTTGTATATACTTGTTGGGCAGGGGTGGAAGAATACCAAGGAGTTTCAGTCAATGAGCTAGAGCAATTTCTCTTTGTATATTTCTTAAAATAAAAACTGGAAATGCTCAATCCTGTTTAGAAACATGTCTGATTTGTGTTACATCAGCTGCCAACATTCCCATTAACCCCTTGGGGTCCAATCCACCACACATCACTTGCTGGCCTGCTAAGCCGAGCTGGCCTCCCCCATCCCCCTGAGCTACTTAGCTTGGATACTTGGAGCATTAGCAGAGTGTTTTAATGTGCCAGGTCCGTTTTAAAGAGAAAGGGTTTGGGGGGGGCAGGGGGACTAGAGAAGTAGCTTCATTCTTCAGGGCTTGGAACTAGCAGGTCAGCTCAGCCCCTGCATGGCTAATGCTTGAGCTCCGGTTGCGGTAGCTCCTCGCCTCCCCTCAGCCAGCCCCTGGCTCAGCACAGCCCAGTGCACAGCTGCAGAGGGGCCCACCCTGCAGAGTCCCTAACGCAGGCCAGAGCACAGGGCTCAGTGTGTCTACATGGCACACTAAGCCCAGGACTGACTCAGGTTTGAGCCCAAGTCCCCACTTCTGTCCACACACAAATCAGTCTGACTTGGGTCAGCCAGCTCCTGGGCCCCTGCTGGGGTAGGAGAGGTCAGAGCCCAAGTCCTGCTGTGACTCAGGTCCAAGCCCTGTCATTGTGCAGTGTGGATGCAGCTGGAGCCGCAGACCCTACGCAGCAGTGCACTGTGCAATGTGAACGCATCAGCACACAGATGTGAGACCTGCGACTGTAAACCCAGGTTTGCAATGCAGTGTGGATGCGCAAGCCCAGGTCCCGCAGCCCTGGGCTCCCATGCAGTGTAGTCATATCCTGTGGTTCTAGGGTGAGGCAGCGGCAAAGCACCTGGAAGGAGCAGGGGAGAGGGTATCTGGCCAACTAAACCCCAATCGTCTTGTGGAGTCGCTCTGTTCCAGTGCAGCGTAGCAGCCCTACAAGCCATTTAGCTTCCCTGTTGCAAAGGAGTGTTCAAATCTTGGCAGATTTTGGGCTCTCCACAATCAGGTCTCTGTGGGTCTGTCCACACTACAGTTAGACACCTGGGGCTGGCCCATACCCCCTGACAGGCGCGCAGGGCTCAGGCTAAGGGGTCAGGCTGGGCCCCTCACAGGGTCCTAGAGCCCAGGCTCCAGGTCGAGCCTGAACATTCACACAGCAGTTAAACAGCCCCTTGGCCAACCCGCACAAGCCCATGTCAGCTGGCACGGGCCAGCCACAGGTATCTAACTGCAGTGGAGACAGACCCATCAAGGCCCTGTAAGGCGTGTTCCGGGGCTACCTTGCATCTGGTGATTACAGCTCAAAGGCCAACAGGGTCATATTGGGTGCCACCATGGGGGTGGGAGGAGGTGTAGCACTGAACATGCTAAGGAACCTGGCCCCAATTGTGGGTGCTAAGCCTTGCTTGGGACCTTCTGAAAATCTGTCCCCTCCCCCCGCCCCTTCACTCTCTCTTGCTCACCGCCTCCCTCCCTCTTGTTTCCTTTAAAATAAATAGTGAGAACTTTAAGCTGCTAACAGAGGACTCCCGACCCTGGGGTTTAACCCTTGGCTTCCCCGCCGCCTCCTTGTGCGACCGAGGTGAAAGAAACAAGATTCATGACTCTTACCGAGCAGCTTCCTAGAGAGGAATTGCAAACTAGACGAAGCAAACATAACAGCAATGCTGCAGGTGCATACACACTGCACAGGTTTATTTATAGCAATGCACGGAGGCTCCAGAGGGCGCGCGCACACACACACACACACACACACTCTCGCTCTCTCTCTGCCTGGGTGTATTTACAGCAATGCACGCAGGCCCCGGAGGGTGCACATGCATGTGTGCACACACACCCACTGCACGGGTGTATTTATAGCAATGGACACTAGCCCCAGAAAGTGCACACCATGTGCACGCGCGCACACACACACACTGCATGGGCTTATCTCATTTCAATTTTCATTCTTGGCTAAGCTCTGCCCTTCTAAGGGAAAGAAGTGCTGCTGGTTTAAGAACCATGTGTCATGCCCATGCCCAGGGGTTAGCCCAGGGCACCAGCGAGGCTGTGGGAGGGAGCTGGGGGGAGTGCACACAGCTGGGGGGTGATGTTTCAGGCATTGGGCACGCAGCAAAGGCAAGGATGGTACGGGCTATGCCTAAGCCAGCCCCTCCCAGATCTGTACATTGGGGCGCTCAGTACAGGGGTCACTGGGGAGGTTCTCGGCCTCTGCTGTGCAGGAAGGCGACGTGCCGATCCGATGGACCCTTCTGGCCTTAGACTCAATGGCTATACAGATCCCCATGGTAACTGCTGACCCCCACCCTCGGGTGCCAAAATCCTCCTAGCTCTCCCACATGTACCAAGTAACAAAGACCCTAATCCCTGCCCCCACAGCCATCCAGACCCTCGGACTCCCCCAGAAATTCACTCCTGAGCCTCCATCTCCTAGAGCCCAGCAGCCAAGTCCTTCTCTGCCCCGTCCAGCTCCTCGCAGTCCCCCACGTCTCCCACAGCGAGCAGCCCAGACGTCTCCCACCCACTGAATCTTCATCAGATGCTCATTTGGGCAGTTCCGTGGGGAGTCCTGCAGCTGGGTCAGGGCAGAGCTAGGGTTGCCAACGTGGTAATATTTAAAAACTGGACACTACAGTAGGAGTGCTGGAACCTCCCCTGCCTTGCCCCTTCCCCTGAGGTCCTTCCTTAGAGATTTTTAAGGTCAGGCTTGACAAAGCCCTGGCTGGGATGATTTAGTTGGGGATTGGTCCTGCTCTGAGCAGGGGGTTGGACTAGATGACCTCCTGAGGTCCCTTCCAACCCTGATATTCTATGATTCCCACTCCTACCCCGCCTACTCCCCCAAAACCCCTCCCCTGCCCTGCCTCTTCCCCTAAGGCCCCATCCCAATCCATTTCTCTTCTCCCCCACCCCCGTCACTCGCTGCTTTTCTCCTCCCACCCACCCCGCCTGGGTCTGGAGGGGCTCACCTGCGGAGCCGGGGCTGGGAGCTGCAGCCACCCAACGCAGGTAGAAGGCAGCCCCGGCTGAGTAGGGGCTGAAGCAGGTGATGACCCAGTGCCTCCCCCGCCTGAAGTAATCGGACTTTGGGTGTCCAGTCAGTAGATCTGACTGGACGCTTCAGGTCCCCTGTTTGACTGGACTGTCTGGTCAAAAACCGGGCACCTGACACCCTAGGCAGAACAAGTGTCTCTATGGTCCAGTTCAGCCATGTTGGGCCGGAAAGGGTCAGTGTGATGGGGGCACTGGGGGTATTTCTGCCGGAAATGGAGCAGGAGTAGGCCGAACTGACTTCACATGGGGTGGGACTCTCTTCCCATAATGCTACTGGCAGGGCTGACCAGGGAGCCTCCTGATAAACAGATCCTGGTGAATTGTTTTCTTCTTTCAGTAGCACAGCATGTCCCCTGTGGCATCCAAGTTCAGAACAGAAGGTTCTGGAGCAAACCATGTGGTGGAGTGGGGGATACGTCCTTTGCCTTCTCTCTGTGTCGCACTAGAGCTGCCAAAAGGACACAAGTGAAACCCAGCTCCATAATGAATAGGAATGGCCCAGCAAAGGACACATCTGCATACACTGCCTGGAGTACAGAGACCTAACACTGTTCCTGTCCACTGAAGACACAAACACACAGTAGACAGCTGGGAGAACCCCAGGCTTGCTCATTACCTGGCTGCTATTTAAATGGGTTAGGAAGGTCCAAACAACAAGGGAAAACCCTCAAAAAGTGTTCTAAGAATAAAAGCTTTTCTACAGAAGCTGTGACCTCCCTAGGCAAGTTACCAGCATTCTCTGTTTGGTTGCACAGACTGATTATAATAATCCAGAAACACCTGGGAGCACTGCACTGGTTGGCGAGGCAATGTGCACCGTCTATTATTTTTGTCATGGTGTCTCCTCCGCCCCAGACCATGCGCTTGTTCAATTTTATCTCTTGGATTGGACGCTCTTTGGAGCAGGAATTGTCACTGGTTCTATGTTTGCCCAGTGCAATGGAGCCCAAAACCAGTTGGTCTCTAGGAACTAGCATTATATGTATGCTAAATAATGTAAGCCCTGTGGCCAGAAACTCTGGACAGGAAAGAGCTCACTACTCCCTCTACTGGTGAACAAGGAAAAGTGCTGCCATAGAGAACTTCATTTGCATAAACTACCTACCCACAAT